GGCAGTATTTAAAGAAAGAGACTGGAGCATAGCTGTTCTATCCAACTTAGTGGAATGGGCAGATACCTTCAGGGAGAAGTATTCCCACATATAACTTAGTCCCATGCCATGTAAAGCTTTAAAAGTGATAACCAGCACCTTAATTGGGCCCAAAAAGAGTCAAAGACAATGCAGCTCATGCAATAATGGGATGTCATGTATAAAATGGGATACCCAACACAGCATGTACTACTGCATTCTGCATCACTTCTAATTTCTGAAAAATCTTCAAGGGTAGCCCCATGTTGAACCTCCATGCCAGAATGGGTACAATTGGCATAGAATATGAATCTGTGCAGACTCCCCTGACTATGACCTCCACCTGTTCCTTAAGCAACAACTACAAGTCCAGGAGGACCTCCAAATTTCACACCAGCTTTGTGGAGGGAAGTGCAACCCCATCAAGAAACATTTTTTTCCTGGGAGGGAAAAAAACCCAGAGCCACTCCTCCTTACTAGGGAAAGGTCTAAGCTAAATCCTCTCTAACCAGATCCTCACAGCCTCCAAGTGCTGGGACAGCACTTCAACAGCATTACCTGAGTAACTAGGGATGATAAAATACAATTGAATGTCATAAATATACTGATGATACTGCACCTCTTGCCAACAAATAACCTTGTCCAATAGTTTCATGTAAAAAAAGGAGAGGTGAGAGACCAAAGTTTGGAGGCACTCCACAGTATAGAAACCTAGGGTTGGGCCTTCCCCCCTACAATACAGATTGGAGATACTGTAAGAAGATGAATCACTGTAAAATGGTGCCTCCTAAAACCCTAAGTTAGAGCAGAAACATACCATGCTTGATAACATCAAAAGCCACCAAGAGATCCAGGAGAGCCAGGACAGCTGTATCACCTCTGTTCCAGCCCCCCAAAGGTTATCCACAAGTGCAACTAATATTTATGTATGCATGTATGTCAAATTTAGAAAACCTCACAGAGTGATTCTGGTCAGTGTATAAGTAAAATCTAAAACATAAAAGCTATATATAATTGTATTAAAAAGATGGGAAAAGCACTAACCAGTCCCATGGCTGTGTAGTCTTGTATGAGCCCCAAGGATGTCAGCAGAGTCTGATCTTCAGATATTTCAAAGGACTAGGAGAGCATGAACTTGCCTTGCCTTGTGGGGAGGATGTTTCAGAGGGCGGGGACAACTTCAAAGAAGGCTCTCCTCCTGGACCTTGCAAGTCAAAACTTTTTAACCATTGGGGTCTACAATATATCTTCCCTGACTGAACAGGTGGGATGGGACAATGAATGGGACAAAGACAGTTCCACATAAGGTTTTCAAAGTCATAACCCACATCACCCATACTACCTCTTTGCTGTACCCTAGCTTGAACTCAGACTGAAAAGAGTCCTGATAATTCAATATACATTTATAGAGGTTATTTTTCTTGTCTTGTCCAATTTTGGAGTGTGACCTCTCTGCTACACATTTTTTCACATGTATGCACATTTAAGTGCATTACTCCACATATTTTGTGGTGGGGAAGAAATTTCCAAAATCAATTTCAGCTGGAATTGGCAACTTGTGACTTATATTTGTGTCTGTATGTTTATATTTATTCTTCCTTGGGATTCTTTTATTCTTTGATAAAGAGAATAACTGTTTTCCTATCAGTAACCTCAAATTGATTATTTCTGATTAAGTCACCAGTAGACTAACAGACCCATATTTCAGCAATATGTCCAGAATGAGACAATAGTCTCATTCCCAATTATTTATATTGCTAGAAAAACAGTATAATCTGAATCAACATTTTAATAAATTATATTTCTGATATTGCCTGATCTAATTTACTACTAATTTTGCTGATCAGTTCTAGTCCCACCGGAATCAGGCAAAATCATTATTTTCAGTCAACATTTATAAACAGTTTAATCAATTATGAATGTTGGCAAACAATATTTAGTTTCAAAACAATTTTTAAAAATATCACTTTTCAAACATAATTTGCAATCCCACAACAAAGCTGAAAAAAGTCTTCTTCCTATGTAAATTCTTTAATAAAGTTGCATAACTTGAGACACCAGGGCCACACTCAAACCTAAATACAGGGATACCTTGCTTAATGACCAGCACATTGAGCGCAATTAAGACAGCAACTCTGTCACTAAGCAATGCAGTCATTAAGCAAAATATCATGTGATCACAACAGACTTGTGACCTCATTTCCACCATGGTTGCTAAGCAAGATATTATGTGACCACAAGTCACAATTTTACTACAAGCTTCTCTACTGATAGTCAGAAGCTGGCTGTGAAGCATGCAAATAGCAATCATGTGACTATGAGATAATTGCAACAGTTGTAAAGTGCTTGAATTTCAATCACATGACTGCAGATATGTTGCAATAAGTGCGAGGACCAGTTGTAGTTACTTTTCCAGCATGCCGACATAAGCTTGAAGAGTCACTGTACAGGGCAGTTGCTTAAGAGAAAGCTACTGTATCTTAAACACAATTTAAGACAAATAGTTTCAAAGGTTATTAGCAAACTAACTTTAAATGCAATTATCCAAACTGTGTTCCAAAGCAGTTCACAATTAGTGCACCAAACAAACTAGGCAAAGAGTCTCCTGGCCATGTTGTTCCTGCAGGAACTGTAAACCTAGGAGGAACCACAAATTTGCATATGCTTTTTTAGAACTACAATTGGAAGTGACATAGAGCCAGATGAGTTCTGGTAAATCCATAACTTTATTGTGGTGTTTCATCTCATCTAATTTCTCAGTTATCAGACTAAAAGTCCCACAGAATCCCCTGCTCAGTTCAGGGTATAGCTATGCAACTTAGTGTCATTAATATATGAGTGATCCTTCACTGTAAACCAGTTGATGACTACATGAGTAATTTCAATAATAAGGTGCTACTACTCAAATCTATTTCTCCATAAAAATTTCAATAAAAATTCTTCTGAATAGCCACCTAAAATCTGTAAGGTTTGTGAAATGAGTGTTCATAACAGTAAATCTAGATAAAATGAAAGTGCTCATTGTGTAAGTGAAAGTAGATCTCCTTATTCTGGATTGGATCATAATTTGGAGCAGCTTTCGGATCCAAATTTGCTTCTGATTTCTCAGTGGGGAATAGGAGCATCTACTATCACATTGCTACATCAACTGCATCATTTTTAGAAAAATCACATTGGTAAAATCCAAGCTACATAACCCTAATATGCTCTTGAACTATGTACAAAATAAACACTTTTGCAAATCATGTTAGCACAAGTTAATCACTGTTTAATGCGCTGATTTAGGCACATCCTCTGAAAGGCTTGCACAAGCTCCTGTATGTCAAAGACTACCCTAGTTGTCTTTGTGTACGCATGCACAGATAGCACTTGCACAAGCCCTTCAGAGAACACATCTACTTAAGCCTTTTGAATTGGAATCTTTTGCCTTCACTAATATACTTTGTGTAAACATATTTTTTAAATGTTTTACACTTTTTAAATATGTTCTACATGGAACTACCTCCAAATAACAATGGTGTTCAAAAAGACAATTATACAGTATCTATGATAAAAGCATTACATTAACTGCAAAATTATTGTTAAACATAAATTGTTGCATACAGTTAAGTTCAATATTATCTCAGAGAGCACTTTGTCCTTTTTAATCCGGCCCCTTCCATGGTTCATTGAGGTGACTTGAAGGCTTCTACCTATAGTTTCCACTGGTTCATCAGATGATGACAAGTAATTAAACCTTCTTTGTAGCTCCCGAGATCCTGAAATAACTCTGTTGTTCTGATGAACTGATACTGTCCCAGCTTTTAAAAGGCCTTAAAATATAATTTTCTAAACTGGCTTAAATTACTGACTGATTAAATTTTAATGCTTTAGTTTTACTTTTAAGATATTATAAATGACAGCATAAAATGCCTAACAAATATGTTTTAAATACATGAATATCAACAAGTCTTAAAGTGGCCCACATGCAGTTGCAGTTTCAATGAAGTCATATTTATATAGCTCAGATGGCCCTTTGCATTCCAATACATATCATGTTCTTTATTTCAAAATCTTCTGTATTTTCTATACACAGCTGACACTGACATTTTAATCTATAAAATGTTATACTTACAGTAAAAATTGCCTATGATAATCTACCATACTAATACATTGCAACCCCTCATTCTGGCTGATATGCTTCATCTCTTATACATGAATACTGAATTAGAATGTTTTCTCACGCATTACTGTTTTATCCAATTTTCTGGCACTGATAGCAGTAAACTACTGATTACCATTTCCTGTTCTAACAGTTTTATAAATGAAACTCACTTCCCCACCCAGTAAGTCACCACCAAAAGACCCACTCCCTGCATCTCCTATAATATCAGACTTTCAGTGCCGGGACTATGCACTAATATAGCACTGGGTTTCTTTTCTTCTATAAGTTTTGCTATTCCTTCAGCAATGACAAATATAGGATTGGAAGGACAGGATTCTTAAGAACCTATTGTACTTCTGTTTTCAAAATCTGTTTCTCAAGACATAGCAATATCACTATTCCCATTAATATGTTATAGTTTTTCATTCCAATAATATAATATGTATCTCCAATCTCAAATCACTTTATAATAAGAATGTGGATCAGTTTCATAAAGAAGCAATGTTTTAGAGATTTGTGTGTTCTTTTTTAGGAATAGTTTTATGTAGCTGATTAAAGAAAGTATTGATTCAACGTACACAGGAATACTGTATATATATGCTATAAGTTCACACAAATCGCTCGTTATACATATCCTGGAACCTTATTTCTTCCTTTCACATCAATATAAAACGGTAGGGAAATGGTGGGAGGGGGAAGAATCAAGGACGATGACAGAATCCCTTTCCCCTCAACCTCGCATAGGTCAGTGTGGCACACCCATCCAGCGTTCAACTTCCTTCCTTCCTAGGGCGTCAGCCGAAATGAATCCCAAATTGTTGATTTCCTCCTCACTCACCTACACCGGGCTCGGGCTCTGTCCAACCACCCTTCGGGGAGCGGCAACTTCGACTTCTTCTTCCCGTCCTGTCCCGAAGTTTGGGGGAGGGGTTGCGAAGCAGAGGTGGGGGGGGAGTCTTTACTGCCTGCCTCACCACATTTCCATAAGGAGCGGCTCACTACGCCTTCCTCAGATGCAAGCCAAGGGGGGGTGCTCTGCGGATGGGACGGTGGCGGCGGCGGCGATGGCGGCAACTAGGCACTCCCCTCTCGCCTTCAGTCATTGAGCCGCTCTGCTCCTCACAAAACAACCGACACAGCAGGAGAACGAGAGAAGCAAAGAACGAGCACGCGCCGCACGCCACCCGCTTGCACGCGCGACTCCCCAATGAGCGAAGTGATGGGGGGTGGCACCGCCTCGCGCTTCTTTAGATCTGCGCGCGCATGCACAGTTGCGCACGCGCTACGCGTTTGCCAAGTCAGACTGTATGTCTTACGGAGGGTGGCGCGCTTCACTTTCTCGCCCTCTGTCTTAAGAAGGAGGGGGAGCTGTAGCCCTCACACAGGTGCTGGGTTGGGCTAGCACCAACAACGTTCCCCCTCCACGTTCTATCCATGAACAATAGGCGGCGCGCAGGGGCGCTTCTAGAGTTAGTTCCGCTTCTTTCACACGTTTTCCCTATTCGCGGCACGCCCCTATCTCTCAAGGAATTTCCATAAGGAAAGGGAAAAGCTTACTATTAATAGCAATTGAAGGTGAGGTTATGCAATATTTAAAGATATATGTTACTCACACATTTGTTTTCCATTATAGAATTTGCTATTTAATATAGCGAAATAGGGTCTGAAATGCAACGTCCATTTGTAGGAAAGATGCAATAATGCCAAAATTTAAGGAGAAAATAGACAAGTACTTTCGATTGTACTTCTTGTCTGTGTACTGCTGTGAAAGATGGACATCGAGAAGGAAGATAGAAACCTTCCAATTATGGATCTGAAGATGGTTATTAAAAATACCATGGATGCAAGATTAAATCAGTCAGTCCTGAACTAAATACTAATTTTTGTTCCCTTGAAGTTATTATCAACAAGAAGAAATTCTCGCCTTTGGGATATGTGATGAAAACAACTGACAGCAAAAACAGGACTGGAAATGAACTGGGGGACTAGAAAAATAACTGCCTGGCAAAGTTGAGGGAAGTAGAAAGGGGAGAAATTTATTTTTAATTAATAATAATAAATAATAATAATATAAAGTTGGAGGAGACCTTGGAGGTAATCTAGTTCAACCCCATGCTTAGGCAGGAAACCCTATATCAGTGATGGCGAACCTTTTAGAGACCGAGTGCACAAACCGCAACCCAAAACCCACTTATTTATCACAAAGTGCCAGGGCCTCATCAGCATTGTGCCTGGGGGGGGGGCAGGGAGGTGCCTCTGAGTGCCACCTCTGGCACGCAAAAACCGGGGTTGCAAAAATGGGCTACCGTGCTGCAAGGCACAAAAACGGTCACTGTCGCATCACGGGGTGCAGATACAAGGCGCTGCACCACGTAAGAATGGGGCAGGGCTAGTGAGTATCACGCAGACACTAACCCTGCCCCATTTGCAGCAGGTGCTTGCTCGCGGCCCCATGCACGCATGCATGTATGTAAAATGCTTCCCCCTCCCTTTTCTTCCAGTCCACCAATTGACAATGATTGGTGACCTCTGCTCTACCATCTTTACTTGAGCTTGCTAGTCGGCCGCTTTGCCTCCTTTGTGCTGGGCAGGGCTCCTGCTCCGGGCGGCGGAGGCGGCCTTATGGACCTGCTGCTGGCGGCAGTGCGCCCATGCCAACAAAGGGCTCTGAGTGCCGCTTCTGGCACGCATGCCATAGGTTCGCCACTAGACAAATGGCTGTCTAGTCTCTTCTTAAAAACTTCTAGTGTTGGAGCATTCACAGCTTCTGGAGGCAACTTGTTACACTGGTTAATTGTTCTAACTGTTAGGAAATTTCTCCTTAGTTCTAGATTGCTTCTCTTTGGTTAGTTTCCACCCGTTACTTCTTGTCTTGCCTTCTGGTGCTTTGGAAAATAGCTTGACTCCCTCTTCTTTGTGGCAACCCCTGAGATATTGAACACTGCTATTATGTCACCCCTTGTCCTTCTCTTTATTAGACTAGACATACTCAATTCCAGCAACCGTTCCTTGTATGTTTTAGCATCCAATCCCCTAATCATCTTTGTTGCTTTTCTCTGTATTCTTTCTAGAGTCTCAACATCTTTTTTATATCATAGTAACCAAAATTGGATGCAGCATTCCAAGTGTGGCCTTACCAAGGCATTGTAAAGTGGTATTAATACTTCTCGTGATCTTGATTCTATCCCTCTGTTAATGCAGCCTAGCACTGTGTTGGCTTTTTTGGCATCTGCAGGACACTGCTGGCTCATATTTAAGTGATTGTCCACTAGGACTCCGAGAGCTCTCTCACAGTTACTACTATTGAGCAAGGTACCACCTATACTATACCTGTACATTTGGTTTGTACAGTGTTTGTAAGTGATTGTCCACTACGACTCCGAGATCCCTGTCACAGTTACTATTACTGAGCAAAGTACCACCTATATCAGGGGTGTCAAACTCAATTTCACTGAGGGCCGCATCAGCATTACGGTTGCCCTCAGGGGGCCAGGTGGGTGTGGCCAGGGTGGGTGTGGCCTACTGGGTGGGTGTGATGGAGTGGGTGTGGCCTGCTGGGTGGGCGTGGCCAGATCAACATAGTTCGTGTCAAGGGTGCCTGTGGTGGCCTGGGCAGGAGTGGGACAGATCTGAGGGTCTCTGGCAGAAGGGGGTGGGACCAGGGCAAGTGCCAAGGCATGGTCCATTGGAAGAGCCTCACTGTTCCTCTCAGGCCATGCGGGGGGGCTCGATGGTGATGTGAGCTGCCCGGAGCCCTGGGCAGCAGAGGTCAAATGCCCAGCCTGGCCCTCGAGTACTCGCAGCACCAAGCCCAGCCCCACTTCTCCAAGGGGGTGCCCAGCTGCAATTACCTCCTCCTCAAGGCTGCTGCTGCTGTGCTTGCTCTCCTTAGCCAGGTTGCTCATGATGGGTACAAGGGCAAAGTCAGAGGGAGGCCCATGGGAGGAGGCCCGGCTTTGTATCCAAAACTTCCTTAGCAATAGGATGGGAGACCCCCCAGGATAGGCCAGGAGGAGGGGGCAAGGGGATGGTGAAAGGGCAGCAGGGCAGGACTAAGGTAGGACTTCCCTCAGACCGTCCTTCTCCTTCTTTCCTTCTTTCTTAAGTACAGAGTGGTGGAAAAATATTTGAGATGAGGGAGGGAGAAAAACAGGCAAGAAACGCAGCTGGGGAGGTGTCACCTCCCCAGCATGTACCCAGGAGGTGGGGCCGACGCGGCAGGGGCTGGTTCCTCGCTGTTTCCAGACAGCCTTGTGGAGCTAAGACTGAATGCGTTTCAGCATAGATGGCCACCACAAAATTGTACATTGGCTCCTGGCCAGCCTGGGCCAGGGCCGAGGCAGCAGGGGCCGTTCCCTTACTGTTTTTCAGGATGGCTTCGCGAGCCACATGAAACCACTTCGCGGGCCCCGGGCCTTGTGTTTGACATGTCTGACCTATATACTATACCTGTACATTTGGTTTTTCTTGCCTAAATATAGAACCTCACTTTTTTAACCATTGAATTTCATTTTGTTAGATAGCGCCCAATGTTCAAGCCTGTCCAGATCCTCCTGTATCTTAAGCCTATTTTCTGGAGGGTTGGCTATTCCTGCCAGCTTGGTGTCGTCTGCAAATTTGATGAGTTCCCCATCTATCCCCTTGTCCAAATCATTGATGAAGATGTTGAACAGCATTGGGCCTGGAACATCCCCTTGTCCAAATCATTGATGAAGATGTTGAAGAGCATTGGGCCTGGGGCACCCCACTGCACACTTCCCTCCATGTAGATGCAGTTCCATTGAGGATCGCACACTGAGTACGGCCAGTCAGCCAGCTACAAATCCATCTGGTGGTGATGCTGTCTAACCCACATTTTTCTATTTTATCAAGTAGTAGATTGTGGTCTACTTTATCAAATGCCTTACTGAAGTCCAATTAAATTATATCCACAGCATTCCTCTGGTCCACTAATTTTGTCACTTGGTCAAAGAATGCAATAAGATTTGTCTGGCATGATCTATTTTTGACAAACCCATGTGGATGGATAGAATCAAAGAACTTACAGGACTGTTTTTGGGAGAAGTACAGGTTAATATTAAAGACTGATCAAATGGTTAGCATCTATTCAGTCAGTAAGCAGGACTCATCTGACTCAATAGCATCTGCCCAACCTCTTATCCATGTTAGATCTGATCTTCCATTATTATGTAAACCTAAGTAGAAGAAGTTGAGATCTATATATAGTTCTGTGTTCTAAATAACACAAAAATATAATACTGTATATTTCCATCTGGATTTTAAATTACACACTCCAAGAACTTAAAAACCCAAAAGTTGGCATAAGCATGTTTGTCTGCAGTATATCTTTTAATCGCCGTTGTGGTTTTCACTATTGTTAAAATATATGGGGGGGTTGGGTTACAATGCATACATCCTCAGATTTCTGGAGAAAGGCAAAGTCAAAATGCACAATTTTATTCATGATTATTTGATTATAAGCATAATTTTAATATAAACAGATTATCAGGATTATACAGATATCGCACTGATTTAGGAATTCTGTGGAAGTGCTTTGGAAAACATATATGGCATTTCTTATTTAATTTTCATCCAAACAAATCAAACTTGTTGCTTAATTTTCTGTGGCACCCAGCTGGACTTTTAAGAATAATATTCAGTAGGTGGTTGAAAGCTTCCTGGAGTTGTTGTAGGTAATGCATTTAGACTTGTCACACTTGTGCAAATATGATAGTTAAGAAAGGCCAGCATTTATCTGTAGTTTATTTTCTGCAGCAGTTATATGAAATACAAGCCTCAGCGTCTTCTGGAAAATAGTGGAAGAGGAGGATGGAAATTAACTGCAGCAGACAAGAGGAAACAGATCAAAAGGGAGCAGCAAGAAAACAGTTGCCATGTGTGGATTTTTCTTTACTTTTGTGTGTACAAAATGAGCAGAATGATATTTTATGGAAATATAAATGAAATAAATAACTATCTCTTCCAAACTGAAGGCATGCTGAGTATGATAAATCTGATTTTAATTAAATAATTTCTATTTTTAGGTTAATGTAATTCAACAGTGTGTGTATCTATTTCTATATATTTAGCTGCATGAGAGCCTTATTAAAAAAATCAAATTCTTAAGGCAACATAGGAGTATTAAATGTCTGCTTCAGTAGATATATCTTTTTTAATGAAAAATTTTAATGAAAATTTTTATCAGTGTCATCATCAAAGTAAACAAACCCATGTGCTGATTATGTCAACAGGTCATGGCCCTAAGCGGAAGTGATGTGTTGGCCTAATCCCATCAAGATAAGCATGAGTAGCCCTAGCAGCCCTATTTTCAGATAATGCGTATTGAACCTAATCCCATCAAGAAAAATGTGGCAGTCAATCCTCTGGGTACATGATTAGCTTAACCCTAGACTAATTCTATAGACATTCAAAACCAAAAAAAGCTAAGTAAAGTGAATAATTAACAGAGGCCTGTGTTTTTGAGAAACAAGCCCTACTTTGGGGAGCTGTGAAATGAAAAATAAAAAAATGCTTTTTACTTCTAATCATTCTAGCCTAATGATGCTTTTAATTTTTGTGGAGTTTTAAAAATCAGTGCCTCCAAAGCTTGGGAAAAGGGAGCTCCTAAAAGGCAGCCAGAGCCTGCATTTAACCCCCTTTTTTCTAAAAGTTATTTATTTCTAGGCGGTTTTAAAATAATTTCCTCGAATGCAGGGGAAAAAACAAACCACAGCCCTTTTAAAACCAACAGCTGGTTTTTACCTTTGTAAATATCTAAAGACACATATTTTGCCAATTGCACCCTGAAATCCTCATGTACACGTAACCGTTCGAAGCATGGCCTTAATAAAATTTATTCTGCCCCCCTACAGCAAAAGACAAGGAATATTAACAGGAATTAAAATGCTCACAAGAGGCAAGCAGCCAGGCGGCAAGTAGGGATTAAGACTTGTTCAGACATGTCAGGACCGCGATTCCAGGCATGCGTGTTTCTGTCTGCTAGTAAAAAAGGGGGTTAGGCCTTGTTCGGGACATGCCCAGGCATGTCATACCTCCCCGTGATTCTGGGCATGCGCAATGCTCAAGGGCGTGTCATTGCAAGGGCAGGGGGGTTGTGCGGGCAGGCCTGAACAGCTAGCAATTTAATTCCAACAGTCTTTTGAAGATGACAATCTCTGATTCCAAAGCTGTTTTTAAAATAATAGCAAAAGCTAGCGTCACATGCTCTGACACAAGGCCCCAGCCAGCAGAATGCAACAAAATCTGTTGCAGGGGTTATGATAAAGAAAAATGTTTATTCAGACCCGTTTTGCACGGCTGTAGCATGGTGTGTTGTAACTTTAATGATGAGGTGCAGAGTACTTACCGGACAGCCTGTGAAATGGTGAATGATACTACATTATCTCCAAGCAATGGTAAGTAAATATGTTTTTATTTATGATAATGTAAATGCTGCTGGAGCAGATAGCATACTAACAGGATGTGCTTTATATTTTGCAGACTCCGAATTAATAACACTTAGACAGCAAACACTTCAAGACACCCCGATTTTATATTCCTGTGGTAATCACTGTGGTCACAAAGTTTCTGCAGATTTTTCTGATCTAGACTATAACAGGGATTCTGAGCTATCCCAGAGACCACGCTATCTGCCCTGTGAGTTAAAGAGCTGCAATTTGTGTAAAGACTGGTTTGCTTGCGACTGCGGATATGATTTGTGGGGCACAGGCGGGTCAACGTATGGTAAAATAGTGTGTTATGGTTCTTTATCTTCTGATTCTGATAGTGGTGATGAGGGATATTTTTCTGATGGTGGAGCCATGCCCCCTCTGAACTCTGTATAACCAATAGAAGACTGTGTTAACGTCAACGCTTGACCATTGTGTCAGTGGTCTTTCAGTATAATGATGCATGAAAAGCTTCTAAGCCATATTTATTATACACCAGGATGTGTAGGGAGTTATGGAGGTGTGAATACCCTTTTTCAGGAAGCTAGAAAACATGATAAAAACCTGACGATGAAGCAAGTCAAGACGTGGCTGTCAGGGCAAGACGCTTATATGGTTCATAAGCCTGCAAGAATTAATTTCCTAGAAATAAAACAGTAGTGTCTGGCTTAGATCATCAATGGCAGACTGACCTCATAGATGTCTCCAAATTTTCTAAGGAGAACCATGGAAAAAAGTACATCTTAGCAGTTATCAATGTGTTATCTAAATATGCCTGGGCCTCCCCTTTATCTGATAAAACAGGGAGGGAAGTTACATCCACCTTCCAGAATATCTTTGAAACAGGATGCGCACCCCGAAAAATACAGACAGATGCAAGTAAAGAATTCTTGAATATTCCGCTGAAGAAACTTTTAGCACGTTATGGCATTCATCATTTTGTCACTCATAGTGAAACTAAAGCAGCCGTTATAGAGAGGTTTAATAGAACCCTAAAAAACAAACCCTGGAGATATTTCACAGTTAGAAATACCCATCGGTATGTGGACATTTTGGCAGATACTATTCAGGGGTACAATAACACTTACCATCGTAGCATCGGGACTGCTCCTAACACCGTAAATTTGTCTAACGAAAGGGATGTGTGGATGATGTTTTATGGGGTAGCTTTAAAAAGTAAAAGAAAGGAAAAAATGTCTTAAGATGGGAGATTATGTCAGGGTATCTAGACTGAAGGGTAAGTTTGAAAAGAGCTATCAGCAAACCTATGCGGATGAGATATTCACCATCAAAGAACTGGAGACAAGGGGGGAAAGAGTGGTGAATAGATTAAATGATTACACAGGTGACCCTGTAAAGGGGGCTTTTTACTTTGAGGAGCTCCAAAAGATTCCTGCTGATCTGGCATTTTGAAAGAACATCAAATGAGCTATTTTCAGGTTATATGAACACGCATCTCAGACAGAAACAGGAGGCCAGTGGTTACCCTGACTGGTGCAAAACAGAACAGGATAAAGAGCAATATATTCAGGATTATGAAAAGATGGAAGGTGTCCGCTTACGACATGACCACATTGAAGTAAATCCTGCTAAAAGACAGATTGCCAAACTCTTTTTAAATTCACTGTGGGGCAAGTTTGGTCAGAGCACCAATCACCTGACCACATCCGTGGTGACAAACCCTGAGGATTTATTCAAATACCTTTTTGTGCCCTATTATGATGTTTCCTCATGTGAGTTTGTGGATACAGAGACAGCCGTTGTGACGTGGAAAACAGCCAAGAACCACCTCACCAAATCTACATGCACTAATCTATTCATTGCCAGCTTTACTACTGCTTATGCACGGCTGGAATCATACAGGCTACTGGATGGTCTGGGCAATAGGTGCTTGTACCATGATATCGATTCAGTCATTTTTGTAAGTAGAGAGGGGCCATGGACACCTCCTTTGGGTGATTATTTAGGACAGCTGACAAGTGAGATTCCACCAAACACTATGATAACAGAGTTTGTTGCGGCTGGTCCCAAAACGTATGCTTATGCTTTGTCCAACGGTGAAGCGGTGCTAAAGGTTAAGGGAATCACGCTAAACTGTGAAAATAGCAATAAGGTTAATTTTGACAGCTTGAAAGATTTGGTAGATATAGTGCATACCTTTTTTTAATGAAAATTATCAGCACTTTTGATCAGTGATGTCATCAAAGTAAACAAACACACATGCTGATTACGTCACCAGGTCATGGCCCTAAGCGGAAGTGACGTGTTGGCCTAAGTCCATCAAGATAAGCATGAGTAGCCCTAGCAGCCCTATTTTCAGATAACGCGTATTGAACCTAATCCCATCAAGAAAAATGTGGCAGTCAATCCTCTGGGTACATGATTAGCTTAACCCTAGACTAATTCTATGGACATTCAAAACCAAAAAAAGCTAAGTAAAGTGAATAATTAACAGAGGCCTGTGTTTTTGAGAAACAAGCCCTACTTTGGGGAGCTGTGAAATGAAAAATAAAAAAATGCTTTTTATTTCTAATCATTCTAGCCTAATGATGCTTTTAATTTTTGTGGAGTTTTAAAAATCAGTGCCTCAAAAGCTGGGGGAAAAGGAGCTCCTAAAAGGCAGCCAGGGCCTGCATTTAACCCCCTTTTTTCTAAAAGGTATTTATTTCTAGGCGGTTTTAAAATAATTTCCTCGAATGCAGGGGAAAAAACAAACCACAGCCCTTTTAAAACCAACAGCTGGTTTTTACCTTTGTAAATATCTAAAGACACATATTTTGCCAATTGCACCCTGAAATCCTCATGTACACGTAACCGTTCGAAGCATGGCCTTAATAAAACTTATTCTGCCCCCCTACAGCAAAAGACAAGGAATATTAACAGGAATTAAAATGCTCACAAGAGGCAAGCAGCCAGGTGGCAAGTAGGGGTTAAGACTTGTTCAAGCATGTCAGTACTGCGATTCCAGGCATGCGTGTTTCTGTCTGCTAGTAAAAAAGGGGGTTAGGCCTTGTTTGGGACATGCCCGGGCATGTCATACTCCCTGTGATTCTGGGCATGCGCAATGCTCAAGGGCATGTCATTGCAAGGAGGCAGGGGAGTTTGTGCGGGCAGGCCTGAACAGCTAGCAATTTAATTCCCGCAGTCTTTTGAAGATGGCAAATACTGATGGAGATTTGTTTGATATAAATTTGACCCCCAAACCTCCCAAGCGTGGGCGTAGAATAAGAAAAGGACCTGAGCTATATGGCTTCATTGGAGAGAACAAACTTATAAAGCCTTGTTATTGCAGGTTCTGCAAAACATCAAATGGTAAGTAAATATAAAAAAATTAAGAAAACAGTATTTTGATTAGTTGAAACAGCTAGCCTAATTCTACCTTATTTCCTGTTTTAGAAACGGTGGAGTCTCAAAATGTCAGCATGCCTCAGATTCTGAAAGCGTGTATCATTAAAATATTACACCATTGTTTAATGGGATGTCTACAATCAGATGAAGATCATATTGATAATACCAGTGAAACAGAGCTTATTAACAGCTTATGCTTTAGACTTTCTATGCCTCATGTTCTCTGGATCATCATCAGTATTTCTGACAAAATGAATAACTTATATTTCATCCAGGATTCCCTTGGTGATCTCAAGACATTCATACAGCATATCGAAAAGAACAGTAAACCACTGTCATTAATGTCAAAGATTGAAACTGAATTGCCATTGTCTCTGAAGAGGTTCATATGCCAGAATGTAACAGAAATTAATTACAAGAAACTGTTAATGCTATGAAATTTATAATAAAATGTGCTTTACAAATCACATAAAAGATGTATTATGTTTTTTTTCTTTTGCTGGCCCGTTTAACCTTGTCAGATGTTAAACGCAATTTAATCAATTGGGTTTCCCTGATGAGGCGGGACTGGCCAGTTTTGCAAAAGTTGTGAAGAACTCACCAACTCTGATGTTATTAATTTGTAACATCACGTACTATTCAAATGCAGCTTTGCAAAAGTTGTGAAGAACTCACCAACTCTGATGTGATTAAGTTGTAACATCACGTACTATTCAAATGCAGCTTTGCAAAAGGTGTGAAGAACACACCTCCTCTGATGTGATTAATTTGTGACATCACCAGCGTGTATAAAAGCAGGGTCCATACTGGTCCAGTCACGTTTGCTGGTTTCTGGCATATCCATACCTCCGGAGCCATGTGATCTGCTAAGAAGTCCCTTTTCAGAATGGAAGCTACTATTGTAAGTAGTTTTATGGCTAATTTTTGAAACACTTAGATGCAAAATGGAGTTTTATAATATTCTTCTCTGCTTGCTTGTTTGATTGATTGATTGTTTTATTTCACTAGAATGAATTGACAGACTCAGAATGTTTGAGGGTATATGAAGGTATTTGTCTTTCATACTTTCATACATTTAGATTCTTATAAACATTTCTGTAACAATTCTGACCATTGGGATTTTTCTTTTCCTTCAGAATGGGAGGATGATCAGCCATTTGCAGATCTCACAATTCCCACAGGGCACCAATTGACAGACTCAGAATTTTGAGGGTATATGAAGGTATTTGTCTTTCATACTTTCATACATTTACATTCTGATAAACATTTCTGCAACAATTCTGACCATTCGGATTTTTCTTTTCCTTCAGAATGGATCAGCCATTTGTGGATCTCACAGTCCCCACAGAGCACCAAGGGACCCAGAATGACATGAGCCCTCAGCCTTCCACAAGCCACACAACACAAATGCTGTTAGGAGGTATAATATCTAGCATTTTATCCTACTACAAAACCATTAGTATTATTTTTTAGAAACTAAAAGGGTGGTGGTGGTGATGGTATTACATTATTAGGAATGTTGGTGATAGCCTTTTGTTTGTTTGTTGTTTGTTTAACCAGAGCCGGCCTGCAAAATAGCAAAAATGCATGGAGGTGGACTTCCCGCATCCCCAGCAGACAGTCATAATTGTGATTCTATGCCTGTATCTCAATCAGAAGGGGAGATACGTCATTCTATGCCACAGCTACAAGCCCCTAACTCTGCAAACTCTCAGAATATGAACAATGTTTATCTGGATATGGTGCAGGCATGGGAGAAGCCTATCCGAAATTTCAGGGCTGTGGAATACCATCATCGATATAGATTTGTTAATCTTGACCGAATCCAGTCTTTTGTAGATGCTATAGAGGCTATTCATAATGTGATATAGACTCTTTTGAATAATGTTGCTAGGGACATAGGTCCAAATGATTTTGTTCAACTCCGGTTGGATGCAGAGGGGTTAAATCATCCTCTCTTTTCTCTTAGGAGGCATGTGAATGATTTAAATGCTGATGATTTTCTGACCAGTGTTGAAAATCTGCTTCAAAGTAAGGCAGAGATATTGTGGGGGAGAGGGTAATTTACAATTAGTGGTTACCGTCATCAAGAACAAGGAGGGGGGAGGGCTTAGGAAGTTAAACACTGAGCTGCTCACCAGAGTACTGGAGAAAAAAAGACAGCACCTAGTACATTTCAATGTGGAAGGTGAATTTCTGTGTTTTGCTATCTGTTTGCTCTGGCTGATTGGTGTGGATGTTAGAAATCAAGAAATTATTACCAGGGCCAGGGAACTTCACAGCAGACTGGGTGTTTCCACAGAAAACAGGATTGACTTTTCTCAGATACACCTCTTTGAAGAAGATTTAAGGGTCACTATAAAGATCTTGTTTTATATGCAGGACGGGTGAAGGTTTTTTGTCACAGGTAGCCCCCAGCAAGAAAAAATAGTGTTTATATTGTTACACGACAAGCATTACTATGGCATCATAGTAATAGAACGCTATTTCTGTAAATTCTGCCACACACCCTACCATCACAAATTTAATCATGGCTGTCAATATATCTGCAGAGCATGCCTCAACCAAGAATGTCAGCAGGTGGAGGAGGAGAAGACGCGCTGCTGTAGGTGCAAAGTGTTTTGCCGGTCTAAGGTGTGTCTTGAAAGACACACACAACTTGCTATGGAGGGAAAAGTTGACTGTAAGAATAAAGAATATTGTGAAACATGGGGTTTACGTCTTTAGCCCCCACAAAAAGTGCAAGGAAACCAAGTGTGGACAGTGCTCTGAAAAGGTTGAAAGCTTGGAAGGGCATTTATGCTTTCTAAAATTGTTGGGCCGACCGCAAATTGGCGAAAGATACATCATTTATGATTTTGAATGCTGTCAAGAGACAGGCACCCGTGAGACTTCCGGTTTGAGTTCCTGTGCCGATGGCGGCTTTCTCTTTCGCCACCTGCCCCGAGGACGCGTAAAAGCCGCAGGAGCAGCGTCAAACAGCTGCTCCGTGGCTTGGAATCCCCTTCCCCAGGCAAAGGGGAGGGGGAGAGCCTCCCTGATAGGGGTAGAGCTCCCTAGCTCCCACAGTATTATAGCTGTGGGGGTGGAGGTGAGTTCCCCCGGAGTCAGGGACTTCTCCGCGCTTTGGGCTGCATCCGTTCTGTGAACGAAGGCAGACACGGACTCAACCTCTGCTTATGGGACATCGTGAGTAAATTTTGGGAACAGACAGAGCGATCCAGGTGCTTGGGAGTGGCATGGATAAGTACCTTCAGCTTTGATTTTAATAACTTCTCCATTAAGACTTAAAGTTTAAGAAGAAGAAAAAAAGAAAAAAATGGCCGCGGAAGGGCGTTTTGCTCTTTAATAGAGACTTTCACTTATTGAGGACTTTCACTTTGGCTTTTATTTTCTGCTGGACTACTATTGCCTCAGAGTTATTGGTTTTGAAGGTGAGCAAAATATCTGTTTTTGCTTTTTGTGGCAGTTTCAAGAAAATTTTAATGCACATTGTATTATACAAATTAAATTTGAGAAGGAGGGAAGAGAAAGTAAAATGGCTTCAAAGCGTGGGGGAACTTTTCCTCCTCCTCAGAAAGGTTTGAGCTCTTCTTCTCCAGCTGTACAGTTATCACAGCAAACAAAGCCTACTCCTCCACCCTCTCCTCCATTGCCAGCTTTAACACTGAAAGATTTACAAGATGCTTTAAAAGACACTGTTATGCAGTTTGAAAAGAAACTTGAGGAGAAACTTGAGGAAAAACTTGAAGAAAAAAATGATGAGTTGAGAGAAGATATAGTGTTTGCATTGCAAGCTTTGGCTGATAATGTAGATCGTGTTGCAGGGCGAGTGGAAGAGGCGGAGGAACATATTGAAGTTTTGGAAATAAGAATGGGCAAAGTGGAAGAGAGTACTGATGTAAATCAGAATGAGATTCTTATGTCACAATTCAGAGAAATGGAACATGCATTGAGAATAAGAGGATTGTCTGAAAATGCTCAAGAAAAACTGGAAGAGGAAGTTATAACAGAATTAGCTTTGGTTTTGTCCTGCCAACCTGAAGAATTAAAGAGAGAAGTGGAAAAAATGTTCAGAGTTAATTCATGGGTGGCGAGACAGAGAAATCTTCCAAGAGATGTTGTGATTTATTTTTCAAAGAAGTCAATTCGTAACGAAATTATTCAGGCTTTTTATAAACAAAGATTTCAAATCTTAGGTCAAGATGTGATAATTTTAAAAGAAATACCACACAAGATACTTAAAAGAAGAAAAGATTTTACTTTTTTGGCTGAAGAATTGAAAGTGCGACAAATACAATTCAGATGGGAGATACCAGCTGGTATAATGGTTAATTACATGGGAGTGCGCTATCGTCTTAACACAGTGGCAAAAGCAAAAGATTTTTATAGTTCAATTTTGAAAGCAGGTCATTTAGCATCTCCACAAGGTAGTAGGAAGGAAAGAACTCAAGAAGATAAAGCACAAGCTACTTCATCAGCAAAAGTTATTAAATCACAGGATCAAATTCAAGCTGAGTCACAACTTGTGGAATTTACAGATGATCCGAAATCTCAGAGATTGACTCGTGCAGCCCACAGACGTAAAGAAAGAGAGCAACGTAGATTGGAGGAGGTACCTATAGACCAGCAGGTAACTTCAGAGCTAGTGGGAGGAGCGAGACCAAAGAAATCAGTGTCGGCTGATATGCAAGGGGCGCTTCTGAGGCTCTCTGCCACCAAAGATGGCAAGGTTCCTGACTTGGAATGTTAATGGATTGAATTCACCGCAGAAGAGAAAAAAGGTACTTTTTTATTTGAAGCAACATAAAAATGATGTTGTTTGCTTACAAGAGACTCATATTACAGCAAAAGATCAAAAGTACTTGATTAATTCACGGTTGGGAACACATTTTATTGCACCTGCGCCTCAGAAAAAAGGCGGGGTAGTTATTTATGTTAAAAATGAGTTCTTGCCTAAATTGATTGATTCTGACTTAGAAGAAAGATATGTTTTTATTGAAATGCTTTTGAATGGGAAGAAATGCCTTATTATTGGATTATATGCTCCAAATTCACAGCAGAAACAGTTTTATAAATTGATACATCAGAAGCTAAATCAAATGGATTACAAATCTGTTATTATGATGGGAGATTGGAACGGAGTCTTGGACTCAAGAAAAGATAGGAAAGGTTCCTGCAAAGTTTTTAACTCATCATTGCCTAAAACTTTTTTTGACTTGAAAGAAGAATTGGAACTAGAGGATATATGGCGGGAAAGAAACATGGATGAGAAAGATTATACTTTTTTTTCGGATAGGCACCAATCCTATTTGAGAATTGATTTTTTTTTGATAACTAATGATTTTCTTTCTAGGGTGAAGAATGTTAAGATTTTTCCTAGGACATTATCAGATCATAGTCCAGTGTGGATGGAATTACTTCGTGAAGAAGGAGAGAGA